CCATTCATCGCGTTCAGCAGAAGTTGGTGTATGATTCCCATGTAAACTAATTTTCCTTGGTAACTCTGTTTAGAGAAAAAAAAACAAGGTTCGGTGGGTTAACTTTGTTTATACTAAACGGATTATTTCAGTTTCCATCACATTACTGCTTATTGTCGACTCTCGTACTTTGGTACATTATACGAAAACACAAGAAAGAAGTCAGAGACGGCCCGCTTCTGTAGCATTCAACGAGAAAAGCCACGAAAACGACGTCTATTTCCAAAATTACAACTCTATGTGGCGCTGAATAATTATTCGATACTTCAGAAATAGTTATTTAATAAATATGGCTAAGGAAGACATGTCTTAATTGTGTACGCGGTTATGTGTACGGTTTTATAAAAAATGGTTACTTGCACGGTATTGTTGCACGAAACCATGAGTAGGTTTCTAGGACACGAGGTCAGGTGCGTGGTAATGTGAAGCAGTCATAAGTGTACGGTATTCTGGCACGATTCCGTGTACACATCACTGAATCCTGAGATCGTGTATGCGGTATTGTGACTTCATGTGAGGGTGATGTTGTATGTGATTTCTTTCCATAGTCCAATTTATTGATTTTTGTGCACGATGTTGTGGCACGATTCCGCGAACCACCCACTTGAGAATTCATGCGCAATGTAATGTGGTGCATCAAAACCTAGCCATTTTTCGCACAACACTACTGACTGTTTTTCGTGCACAAACTTGCTGCACGAATTCACGCCCACTTTCATGATTTCGTACAATTCCGAATGCTGAACGTGTCGTGCGCTCTCGCAGTGCTTCGTCGTGACCATTTTCATCCTCCTTCTCATTAAGTTTTTGAAACGCCTGTTTTCTATACGCAACGCGACCGCTCGCGCATGTTCCGTTCTCGCACAAATCACTTCTCGTCTTCATTAGATTACATATGCCTGTGAAATAATTTACTTCAGCAACCGAAATGTACAGACACTGAGATAGCTTATTCTAATATTTCTAGTTTCTCTTCTTTTCCTCAGTTTCTTCAGGCCCTTCAGTCTCCTCTGGCACTCTCTTCTTTTCCTCAGTTTCTTCAGTCTCTTTAGTCTCCTCTGGCACCTCTTCAGGTTGCTCAGCCTGCCTCTTACGGAAAAGTCGGCCGCAGCAGGAGTAATCTGAACGTCAAGGATTACGGTAACATAGCTATAAAGATGGATTTTGTAATTTACCTGTCATGGAGCAGCAAGAGATTGAGCCGAACATCGGAGGTGGTGGAGGTGGTGCCATACCGCAACGAGGTGGTGGAGGTGGTGCCATACCGCAACCGAAGCATGGTGGGTTGAAGAAGGCAGGGGGTGGTGGTGGTGGTGCGCAAGGAGGAGCCATGCACGGTGGTGGGGCTTGGAACATGATCCGTGGGGGCGGTGGTGGCGGTGCAGCCGCGAAGAATACCTGAATTTGAGGCGTTGTAGAAATGCACAAATCGTAGAAACTCATTAGTTACCTGTGGCGGAGGTGGTGGTGGTGGTGCACAGGCTACACCAATACATGGAGGTGGTGGAGCACAAGCTACACCAACACATGGAGGAGGTGGCGGTGGTGCATAGATGACCTGTGGTGGAGGTGGTGGTGGAGGAGGAGCACAAGCAATACCAACGCATGGAGGAGGTGCTGGTGCTTGCATGAAGACCACCTGGAAGTGAAAACTCTGAGATGGGACTGAAATTTCGGGTAAAATCTAGAAATTACCTGTGGTGGAGGCGGTGGAGGAGCACATGGTGGACTGAAGCAGGGCGGTGGTGCAAAGAAAGCTGGTCCACAACCAGGGCAAGGCTGAGCGGTGGCAACGGCTAATAGGGCCGTCAGAACAATAAGGGACATTTCCTGCAAAAAAGAAAATTTCGTTGTGATACAATTGAGGCTCACTAGTGCGGGAGGTGTACGGTACAGTAACTGAAACACTCATTTGTTGCGATGATGAGTGGAAGCTACTGAAAGTATAGAAAAAGGATCTGGAAAACGAGGAAGAGCTGGGATATCCGCACAGCTGGACCAGTGATAGTGCTTTGTTCTGGAGCATAGCTTGAACGACCGTTATATAGCTTTTGAGCGTAAAGTGTCCGCAAACATCCTACACCTGTCGTAGCGTTGTTGACGACAGACTAGAAATCACCAGCAATCACTGGGAGCACACAGTCTTGAAGTGACCCGCTCTTCAACAACTGTGCCAATTTGAAAACTATCCGGCGGAGTTTGCAGCGAATCGCTCCTTGTTTCAAAGGCCCACTGACCCTGTTTACGCATGAAGTCACCCCTCGAACCATGTTTTTTCATCGATACCGTAATCGATCGATCGATTCATCGATTTTAGCACACGTCCCTTACTGTCTGTGTAGCTGCGCTTACTTCTACAAATTGCAAAAAACAGCATAATTCTGTGGACCTACCACAATAATAAGCAACAACACGGCGCAGTCTGTTAGGCCTCGATACGGAGTTCGGCGTGAAAGAGTGCTCGCCGAGTTTCGTAAAAAGATTCCAAAGGTAAAGGATGGATACGTTGGCGGTGGTGAAAGACAAGAGCTGCTACGTACACAACCAAATACCTCTATGAGTATAGTGGGCCTCTTTCTGGGCTGATATCGAAATACAGATGGCCAGAAAGAGGCCCACTGTATTCTGTATTAGAGTACCCAGACCTTTCTTCTTGACAGTCGGATCAGCAGCAAATGATCAATCATATTCATGGGCAGGAATATCAATCGTTGTGTAAAGCACATGGGCAGGTAGAGTAGGAAAGGAGGGGTCGTTCTTGTCGCTGTTGGGAGGGAGAGGTGTATGTACTTGTCTATGTGCCCTTAAAGAAACTTACCGCGTTTGCATTGGAAAATATTTTTTTTATGGTTGTTGTGTCTCATACTACCGTATTTTTCATGTTTTCATGTTGTACCATACACCTCCTCCCCTCCCCGCTCGACGGAAAATCTTTGGGCGAAAAACTGGAAAATGAGGGAAATTGGTAAGTAGGTCTTCGGGAAGGATGAGGAAATCGGTTCGTTAGGTCTATAGGCGAAGTAGTTTCATACTAATACCACTCACAACATCAGATACTTGCACCCCTGCTCATAAAATATTGGAATTGCTCGAAAGCCACGACAGTGGTCTTATTAAGCTCCTCAGGGTTTTCACCACCAGAGTATTGCTTGTACTATCGCGCGTTTTGAGAGTTTCGTTAGCCGATCCTGGTATAGAGAAAGATCTCTATTCCATTATTAATCCATTGTTATTAATAGTTCGTATTATTGTATTGTACTAATAGTTCGTATTGTTTTATATTTCAGCTTGATACACTATGGGGTGGCGCTTGACACTATTGCGCGGGACCGCCTTAGGGTGATCTGGGCAGCTGGGGCGGGAAAATTCCGTATAAAAGGGCCCCTCAAACTGGGTCCCCCTTTATGCTCGTTCTTATTATTGTATTCAGCTGTATATCTACTGCTTCCTAAAAGTAAATATTCTACTTATCGACCGTCTCCAACGTCTACACCTGGACTACCCCGGTTATCAACGCCCATAAGCTGAAAATGATTACAACGCTCGAATGCACTCTTTCACATGAAAAATGATGGTCAGTATTTTGGATTTTCTTGTATGATGGTTATATTTATAGCAAAGAAAAGTATAGGGAATTCGGGAAGTCGCAAGCCCTGTGTAGGAGAGAGGAAAAATTCTGCATTCCCATTACTTTTCTCAAAAATTGTTCATTGACCAATGCGGCCCTTAAACCCTGACGATTTCTTGTATATTATACATCTATCAGCCTAGTTATGCTGAGGCTCTCCCAAGCCAGTGGATGCTCGCAGCCAAGTTCAAGCTTTGCTGGACATCACTTCGCGCTACCATGTGTCGAAGCTCCGAGATCGGCCGTTATATGGTATCGAAACCATAGGATCCTTTTGGTTACATGACTGTCTTTTTTCTATTATTCATTTAGATCGTTTGATGTCTTTTTATTTGTGTTTGAATATTGCTAAAAGGCTACGAGTTCGTGATCAGGTATAGAAGCTTGAAAATATGCCGCGTGTGATTAGGGATAGATGTGGTTCGCGACAAACAGCCTTGTACCAGTTTCGCGGCAAAGAAAGTGTAAGGGAGGGGAGCTATAACGCAAAATAGATTCAGTGACGCCTCAAAACTCCGCCTTCAAGGGCCCGTCAGTGAAAAACGAATCTGAAGGACGGAAAAGCATGAAAATCGTCACCTGTACGGTCGTAGAGCTTTTGTCAGGGTACGGTGAGGCGATCGAAATGGAGTCTAACATACAGGCCAGATGGCAGTTTTTTCTTGTTTTTCTTTTTTTTCTTCAATTCGATGGTTATAAAAACTTGTCATCTAGCATGCAAACCCTCGTCTATAATCTGTATATGGCAACTGATCGCGGGCGCTTGCCTCTTAAAGTATTGACAGCTGGCATAGAGCGACTTGCATCTCTCGCCGTTTGATTTTCCCGCCGATTTTCTTCTTTTCTTTTCTTCTTTCTTCTATCACCTGCAGCACATTCCTTTTACACTCATTGCAATGCATATTTAGGATCTGGGGAGGAAGTGGTTGCCCACTTCATATGAACTTGGTGGTACCCTCGCTTTTTTCATCTTTTTTTCATAAATTTTGCGTCTGCTCCGCGCTTCCGTTTTGCAGCTGCGAGGAGATGCTCCGAATGTACGTTACCAGTATGTGTGCAGGCGTCAGTACGACTCCCTTCCACAGTTCACCTCTGCAACCCCGACACATTCCTCTCGTACCAAAACTTGACCCAGAGTGCTCGCCGAATTTCGTAGAAAAGGTAAAGGATGGATACGTATGATGAAAGACTGGAGATGCCACGTTTAAACCCGAACACCTCTGAGTGGGGCTCTTTTCGAGCTGATGTCGAGAAGAAAGATCATCTCTGCCTTTGATGTCTCCAAATCTCTCCTCTTGACATCAGCCCAGAAGGAAGCTCACTCATACCTCATACGCGCTTTCGAATGTACTGTATACCTCATACTTCTCCGGTTTCGCTCTCGAGCCTGAGGAGATAGACACCTATGAAGTGTGGGGAATGGTAGCTTCAAGCGCGTTGCAGAATAGAAGAGGGGTATACTGCGCATTCGAAACGGTAAAATCCAACATTCAGAAAAACCTCTGAGATGCCCCTGTCCCTCCCAGTGGTCAAAAAATGCGACTTCTTGATAAGCTCTGCATGTATAAGTACACTGGGTGCTGAAATAGCAAGGCTGATTGGTACGTTAGTCTTCACCTACTAGCATTAATTAGCGTAATTAAACTAAACTCAACGTTGACGCTCGACATTCGCTAACTAGTTTTGTCTTTTTTTGTTAATACCTTTCAACCGTAACTTGAGAACCAAGCATTGCTAATTAGATCCCACTTGAAGGATGCCAAGAAAAAGCTGACCTCATTTCTCCACTTAATGCTTGTTCTCCTGTGACGTACTTGACACCGTTTCGAGAAATCATTAGCACAAGGTATCACAAAATGTTCGGTTCAGTTCGTCGCGTAGCTCGAGCAATACCCATCGTGGGGTCGTCGGGCTTGGTCACTGGAAAGAAGGGGTCGTACTTGGCCTCGGAGAATTTTTCTGATTGCTGATTTGTGCCTTTCCAAGCCAGCTGTCCCCGTTTTTTTATTCTAAGACAAAACTGTCAGTTCAGCTAGTTGGCCATAGACGCTCCTCTCCCTGCACCCCTTGGGGGAAAGTTTTTGGAAAGGTTCGGTAGGATAGCCAAGTGTCTGTGAAAAGAGGCATAACGGAGGAGAAATTTTGGCTAGGGATCGTACTAGCGAGAATTATTTCCGACGCCGGACCTTAGCTACGGTGTGCAAACACTTTCAGGCTCAACGACTGATCGTCCACTGCGCTGCCGGGATCTCATGCTGTTTTCCCGTGCTT